TGAAATTCCTATTCTCGTAATGTTTCACCAGTTATTGTAACGTCAAAACAATTTGATTCGTTACCATAAGATTGTGTTTCAACTGATATTTTTAAAATTCAGCCTTACTCTGTAGTGAAACAGTAACCCACTAGAACATAACTGTAAAAAGAATTAACTAATTCAAGCGTTTAGAAAGAAAAATTCCGTTTTTTCTAGTTACTTCAGTTGTATATCAGGAATATAGAAGAATTTTTTGAGTAGTTTATGTTACAGATTAACAGTAACTGAAACAACCAGTAGAAACCAAGGAACACTAGATAGTTGTTTCGATCAAGTATGGAAACCCTCAATAGTTCACATTCATGACTACTGGAATACCGTTCTGTAATCCACATCTACAATCTCAGTAAAGTCGTGGTATTACGCTATCACTGTTTATTGTGATAGGTGATATCTGTATGTTAATCCTGGCCTTATCAAACTCCATCGTTCTTATATTTTTATTAGAGTTTTGGAATTTTCTGAATTCAATCATCAGTAAGCTAATGATTTATCAGAATGAAAGGATTATAGTGGTTGTACAGTTTAGAAATTATTAACATCACAGACATTGGCTTCATCTGGACATCCATTGAAAACCAGGAAATGTTGAACAGCTGTTTTTGTCTAGGATGAGACCATCCAGAGATCTTGTACATAAAACTTACACTTCCAGAAAATCAGTAGTTGTACTCGACATAAAGTCATAGCTCATAGTGCAAATCATAGTTAAATATGCAGATTTTCTGTCCAACGCAAACTGAACTATTAATTTTATAAAAACTGGAAAATCTTTCACGAAATTCATGAATTATTGAAGGATGTTGATAAACCTAAAATATTAAAGAAAATGGCTCTTTTCATGTATATCGTGCCTTTCAGACGAATGTCATGAAAACTGGTAGGCTGATACAAGACCATCGGTCAGTCCGTGAGTCAGCAACAACGTAGGACTTCGTACGTACGTACATCAGTTCAATTCTCCATACTACACTAGCACTGAGATACAATTGTCGACTCAAATCCCGTAGTGGTAGAGGTAGTAAAAGTATAAGCAGTAATCGGAAACATTAGGGTTTGAAGATGCTATTCAAGAAGTGTAATCCAGTGAAATAAATTTGGAAAGAGAAAAAAGGAACACAAATAATTCAAAAGATTAGAATTTGGAAGAACACAAAGAGTGGATACAAGACCATGGTAACTATCAACCTCTTGTATTGATGAAGTCATGAAACGTGTGAGACCCATTATGTTTTCTGATCGTCACTTTACTTTCCAGATGATTTTTAATGAACTAGATTGGGGAAGTCATATATGCACATGGTTCTAACAAAGTGACGCATTTTGAAAGCCTTATGTACCTGAGGGCATCCAGAAATGTTATGGACATTCGAGACTGAAGTGGAATAGTTGTATTGATAAGAATATGGAGCATTTTGAAGGATATATGATTCGTATATTCCCTAGATTTTGTGAAATAAATATTTTATGCTGTCAGTTTACATATTTATAGGATGGAGTTGTTTACGAAGTCTAAATATTGACAAATTGTAAACCATTTTAAGAAAAAAATTATTATTTACCTTAATACAGCCATTTTTGTTACGAGTTACGTAGAATAGGTGGTTTGTAGCTAGTAGTGAAATATATGATGTGCGTTTTATCCTATTTGTGTCCCGTTAGCTGAGTATACTTGCACCTCAGTGCTGACTTTTACACTAGGATTCGAACGTGGTACTCTTCGCCTCAAATGCTCTATGCGTTGTCCACCAAGCTACTGACGAGTCCCGTATGGGACGAAACCACGTCCTGGAATCCACTGCCAGTCAAAGTCTATTCGTTCTATTTAACTTTAGCAAAACTACCCATTATTATTATTGTTAATAGCTTTACTCAATATGTGTTTAGTGCAGTGTGAAATTCTCAGCACACAATATTTCAACAAGTTTCCCCCGCAAAAATCAAAGAAATAGATAACTGCATCCATGAAATAAGTAAACAAAGAGTCTGAAATTAAATGAAATCGAGGTAATCCGCACAGGATGCTTATATATCAACAAAGACTGATCAAATCTCGTTAAGAATGTCAGTGGGATAATTCAGAGTATTTGGGTTTTGAATGTATGGAAGATATTTTCAAACGAGAGATTATATTTGTAGAAAATCTCAGCAACTGAAATTATAAACGATCAAACGGGTATTTAGTGTGATATTTGCTCGTAGACGTTTACGCTAAGCGGTTATCTTAATCGAAAGTTATAATACGGTTAAAAAGAAATGCCATCAGCAAATTTCCTACATATGACTACTAAGTGTCAATGGATTTATTTTAACTAGTGGACATATCTTAGTGGTTAATTATATTCACAATATTTGGAAAGTGTGACCTTTATTATTTGCATTGACCTACAATTTAAGTGGCGAAAAATCTCCGCTCATAATGGTTACGGATTACTGAAAACATTTGACTGCGGTTATGTCCAGTTTGTGATTTCAGACCCTACATAATGCTATACTTGTTTCTTGACCGGTAGGTTAGTGATCAAAAAGCTTTTAGCTAACAGCAGGTCACAGGTTCGAACTCCATTCCACATCATCCAGTTTTGGTAACCAGGTAGTAAAATTATGGCTCGCACAAATTGCATTTCTTTTATCGACTCATTTGTTTGGTATAGATTAGTTTTCAAAGCCTATTCCCCTACTTCAGCTTAGATAGCTAGATTGCTATCATTATTTCTCATACTTAGACTGGGCTTGAAAGTCAAGTGTACAACTATGTACCTAATAACTGACTGAATAAAATAAAAATTCAGGTATCTCCTCTTCCGCTGCACATTTGAAACTTATCCACAATCGGTTTTCATATTTTCTCTGATCACTTTGATCATATATAGAGATTTAACTAACAAAGACAGATTACATTGTAATATATGAATATTTAATTGTATTCATTGTAATGAAAGTAAACGAGAAAAATATTTTCAAGCCCATTTTTGTTTTAAACGTCCTCTTATCAGTGTGATGTTTATAGTACAGTCTATGTAATCTCTTCATGTAGTTATATTACTAATTTCAAAATAAGCCATTTACAATGCAAAATATAATATTTTGTACTATTAGTAGTGAAATGACAGAATAATGATCGTTACTACCAAAGGTCATTTTAGTGTTGTCGAATTTAACCTAAAATTTGCAATATATACGTTTCTGCTTCATTCATATATAACTTCAGACACTGCGTCAAGAATTATGTGAAAAATACTTATTTTTAAAAAAGGTTAATGAGTCAAGTAAGGATAGTAGTGACGAACAAGTTTGAGTTTATTGACTTTTATTTACTCATAAAATAATGGTCAAATCGAATGATTCACGAGTGTTCTATACCTAGTACAAAAAACAATATCTGGTTCTTAAATTTATAAGATTAATGGTAAACCATATGAAATCATGAACGAGAAATATAACAAACTATTAGCATATACTTGGATGGTATATGTTGTTAAGTAATTACATGTTTATAGTTTACACTTTTTTCGGTTTAATTGGTAATTGGTCATTTATTGCTATAGTGGCCAATATCATGTTGATCGAGTTCTTTAGATTAAGTCACAACATCAACTGTCCCCAAGTGCCCTGTTACGACTGAGGGAGTGGGAGAGTCCGCTCACAAAATATTGTCAGTTTTGATTAAAATGAGAATTCACTCTATTAAAACAAAGCAGTCAAGTAAGGAAACAAATGCCCTGGCACAGCTGAGGGTAGGGAGAGTCAGCTCTCCTTCTCCAAATACTCTCATATGGCCACGTCCATACAACCACTGTTAGGGAAGTCCTACCTACTGCCTTCTCGCGGCGAGGGTGTTATTTACGAAATTGAGAGGATGGAAAGCGAATGTCTGGCGCTTTAACCGAGTCGGTGGTTACGAAGGACCCATCTAGAGATGTTGGAAAACTCTCCCAACCAATGGTGCACATGGGCTCCAAGATCCTGAGGGAATATATAGAGTACGAACCTATTATCGGTCACCGGCTACCATGGGACAGCATCTCCTGACGTTGCTCCACTGCCTTGTGGATTAGACTTCTAGGTTAAAGGCTCATGGAGTGGCCCCTTAAGAAAACCCACATGCTTCGGTTTAGGTACCTAGGCAGTCTCTCCCAGCCCTCACACATCGAATGGTTTATGTGGTGCATATGTATTTGGTGCCTCCTTGTACCAATGTTTATGTGTTTAAATAAATAAATACATTTTAAACATGTCTATAGTTTTGCTCAAGCCGATCAGACAACTGCATTTTATCCACATCTATATCTGAAACCAGCCTAGTTTTCTTGGGTTCGCTATTAGCGAATGTTAGTTAAGCGTCGGACGATTACTAAATCTAGTATCTTAGGCACTCTATTAGTCAAACGAATTTCTGGTCTGACCTGTAGTCGAAACCATTCAGATGGGACTACGTTCAGTTCCCGAATACTAGGTAATATATCAGTCATTTTCATTAATAAAACTAGACCATCACCTGTTACTGATCTTTAAGGTTAATTTATCAGGTTCCATTGGTTTTCCTTGCCTCAAATAAGGTATGACAATATCAATTTCTTCAAAATAATAGATAGTTTATGTCGATTGTTTGAAAGTAGTATGTAACTCAAGGCCAGTAAAATTGTGCTTTGAAGTGTTTTCCCTATCGTTCCAATCGTTTCGTATTGTGAGTCGATTAGAGTCCTGTCTTTTTGGAGATAGACTATATATATATATATATATATATATATATATATATATATATATATATATATATATATATATATATATATATATATATATATATATATATATATATATATTATTGTATCAACTATTAAATTATCAGTTTAATTAAAATGTTTCATATCTCTAATTTTAGCTTCATTGAATATTTCAAAGTGAACAGCAATTATTCTACATAATAATAATATTCATAACATCTTTAACATTGAACCATCAAATTGTGATCAATTCAAACATTGAATCTATTTTTCTTCCTGTAATTCATCTAAACAGAAATTGGAAAAGTTATACTATTGGTAGTAGTAGTAGTAATAGTCGGTATAATTCACAAAAAAATGACGGTTGACTTTCTATCATGTGGAACATGTTTTGTTACTTTTCGTCTCTCTGATATTAATATGTTTATTGAGCATAAAAAAGCAAGTTGTTGTTTCTTGAAATCACCGTTTACTTCAAATTTAGAAAATAACAAATATCCTTCATTGTTACCATCATTAACATCATCATCATCAACATCGTCGTTTTCTTCTTCACCTCCATTGATGACATTATCATGTTCAAATGTTATGGACAATATTAGTAATAATAATCATAATAATAATAATAATACTTTATTAGAATCACAAAATAGTAATACTATCTTTTTAAAATGTGTTCAATGCTCTCGTAAATTCACAACTCCATGGACATTTTTAATGCATGTTCAAGTTGAACACCAATTAATATTTATTGATACAATTGGAAAATTTTCTAAAACATATGAACAACAATTAAAAAATACATTATCATCAAATGTTGAAGAATTATTGAATGAAACTAATGTTGATGTTGATGATAATGATGAGGATGACGATGATGATGATGAGGATGATCAGTGTGAAAATGGTGTACTGCATACAATTGATAAATTACTCTCAGAAAAAGTGAACAATTCCGATTCTGATACAACAATTACTTCTACTATTACAAATGATGATAATAAATATATTAGTCCTAATAATAATAATAGTAATAATACAAATAGTACTACTGATACACCTACTATTACAAGTAACACTGCTCATACCGATAACAGTAGTAGTATTAGTATTAATAGTAACAGTCATAATGCATCAACACAAACTTATCTAACTGGAATTAAACAACACAGTATACCTCATAGAAAACGTAAATATGTTAGTTGTTGCATAGGTGAATCAACAGTGACTTGTAATAGACTTAACAATATAAAAACTTGTTCAAACGTGAAAAGTTGTAATCTTACACTTTCATCGTGTTGTAATAATTTATCGACTGGAATATGTCCATATAATCTTAATAGCAATAATAATAATGATAACAGTAATAATTGTAATAGTAACAATAATGATAATAGTAGTAATGGCAGTTCTATGAATTCTGATATATATGTCAGTGATTATTGTTGTACTACAGGATCAATTATTTGTAAACCGACAACATGTTCAAATTTATTAAATACTAATGAAATAATTACACAAGATACATCAAGATGTACTGCATCTACGGCAATTGTTAGTTGTTGTATGCGTAAACTTGTCTGTTGTACATCAACACCGGTAACATTACCAATATGTTGTGATCGATCAATGCAAAATGAAATTAATAATAGTAATAATAACAATTTTATTATTCAAGAAACAAAAACTACCAATACTGCTCGAATTACATGTTGTCCTTGTTCACCGAAAAGATCAATAATCAGTCAGTCATCTGAAGTACAAACTGATTTCGATCCAGAATTCAGTTATTCTGATTATGCTGATTTAGCAATGTTATTAAATGCAGCTACACCGACAACAATTACAAGTCCATTAAATTCAATATTATCACCACAATTACCATTATTATCAGATATGATCATACAACAATCATCATCACCTCCAACATCACCACAACAACAAAATAATGATAATGATGAATATGATCAAAATATTGAATTACATTTAAAAAATGACATAATTAATAAACCTTATATTAATGTTGTAAATAGTAGTAATTCTAAAATAACTGATAATTATTTATCACAAATTGATCATATCAGTAATACAAATACAGATATCAATAGTGATAATTCAATTATATTGAATAATTCCTCATCATCATCGTCAACAATAACGACAACAAATGTTGACATAGATGTAACAATGAAATCAATGCCTGTTTCGTCTGGAAATGCCATAATTACATCGAATGTTAATAATAATGATAACATGATCACATCCACTGCCAATGTTATCTTTCAAATGCCAACAATAATGCATACAAATTTGATTGCTTGTCCTAATATTGATAATAAAAGTAATAATAACAATAATGTCAATAAGTATTACTGTGATTCAATTCCACCAAGACGTTATATTTGTCGTGATTGTGGTACATCATTTCGTCAAAATGTTCACTTACGTAAACATATCATGATACAACATACTAAAGTAAAACCATTCAGTTGTCCTTATTGTCAATATACAACTGTTGAAAAAAGTCATCTTACTGTACATATACGTACTCATACAGGTGAAAGACCATTTAGTTGTCGTGAATGTAATTATTCATCCGCTCAAAATTGTACATTAAAATCACATTATTTACGTAAACATCCAACTAATTTAATTAAATGTAATTATTGTTCTGAATTATTTTTTACTGAATTAGAATTAACTAAACATCTACGTGGATGTAGTTTATCTTTTCGTCAACAGTAACAAATTATTATTGTAAATTGTATTATTTTTTTTTAAAAGAAGAAGAAAGTGATATTACAATTGTAACTCCGGTGTATTTTCTTCGTAGAATCATAGTAACATGGTGTTATTTGTACAGGTTAGGCTATTATTATTATTATTAGCACTATCAACATTGTCTGTGATTATTTGTATATTATCATTGTTATTTGCCGTTGTATTCACTATTAATATCAATACTATTACCACTATTAACTGTTACGATTGTCTTTGTTGCTTTTCGATGTATTTATATGATTTAAGTCACTGACTGATCTTAGTTAGATAACGACTTAAATCGAAGAAGCACTGAATAGTTGTTCTGTCTTAATGCGTACATTTACAACTCCACCAGAAATTGAACCTGATACCTTTAGGTCGCGCTACGAAGTATTTAATCTCTAAACCACTGCATTGTTGTCCAATGGTTTACTGTCTGATTTCAGATGTTTCACAGCTATTGTTTAATGCCATTATTGAGTAACTGTCTCACTGCCGACAAATTTAAACTCCACTGGTCACTGCTTTTAACTAGAACTCTGGGGATTACTGTTGCTTACCGCTGTCATTCATTTCATATACAAATATACACGCTTCCTATACGATTGCCCAGCCTACTGTGTGAGTGAAGTGACTAAGGAGCTGTAGGTGGTATTCGAATGAAATATGCATCCATAAATCTGTATTTTTGACACAAACAAGTATATATAGACCAGTATCTTGACTGAGAACGTGATCTGCTTTGTTCGATAATATGGCTTGTGCATCATCTCTGACTTACGATTTGACCTTCCATGTTATGTGTTGTATGTGAATCCTCCAGATTTATGATTGATTACAGAGTTATGTTCGTCGATTCCCCCTAAATACTGATAATATTGTATTGAACAACATATATAAGCGAACAATATTTTTTTCGATTAGATCCTCATCAGGCATATACGAAATTATTAAACCAATCAAGGTAGTTTATAAGTCAATGATAACAATGAAAACGATTACAAAATAAGTGAAACGTGAAAAGTACAAATTGATGGTGTGACAACAGGTGCATTAGTTTTGATAACAATAATAGAGGTTCAAACCAATGTTACATAATCGGAAATAGGTCAATGATTAGAAAAATATAGAAATTGAGATAACAATTATAAAGTTATAAGATGACGTAATAAGAAATGTTCAGATAATTGGACCATATTGTATTGATCAAATTTTGATGTGGTCACGAGCCTGAGTAGACATTAGATGTTAAATACATCCAAACACATAGCATCAAAACATATTACACGCGATGTCTGTTAACTTAGACTAGTAACGATAATGCATTAAAGGACTAGACTAACACGACACTTCGCTACTCACTGATCGGAAAGTTATACAATAAAATTATAACGATTTTCGGTACATTAGCAAAAGTGATCGAGTTGTTAAATAGTCTAGTAACTTACTCAGATCACTACCACTAATTCCGTCATTTCATGATATATAGAAAATACGTTGGTGATCAGTCCTAGGCATATATTTTGATGTCAATGTTTACTTGTAATCAAGACTTCTATGAATCAATGTGCATGAACTCATGTATTTTGTGTTCAACAAATGAGCCAGTGAAAAGCTAGTTAAGTGGATAGATTTCAAAGTTCTCACTAACAATGTGCAATAACTAGTGGTTATGATTTATAGATAATCATCTCATTGCACATGATCCCTTCACTATTCACATTTAAATGAAGGAATCACATCTACAACTATTAGCTTGCCTAAATCATTGGATATCAGATATTTATAGGAACTTCTGTGATCATAGTAGAGTTGTCAGTCACTGTGGATACCGTCCTATTCTTCAAAAGGATTTCACGCAGAAATCGTCCTCTTCGAGATATTTATCACGGTTCATTAAATAATTGAAAGTTTCATCTCAATAGACTTAATTTCATAACAAACTTCTCTTTGATTCATAATTCAACACCCATAAACATCTCTTGAAAATGATTTTCAGCCTTATTATTCCAAATAAATATATGAGACGACATAACTGTCATAATGAGAATAGAGAATCGGTTCTCAAATTGAAAAATTACTGGTTTTGTTATTGTGCATCCTGTGCAGATTGTTTCGAGTCCCGGAGTGAACATCAACTCTGGGGTGCAGGTACATCCAGCTGACGAGTCCCAAATAGGACGAAACGTACGTCCTGGATTTCACTGCTAGCCACTATCCATCTTTGCTTATAAGGATTGTGACTTAAGGTAATATCGGGGCAATCCGCACATATACCAAGTGACTGGTGAATTGCAGTCCTAAACAACAATGGGAAGATACAAGAAAATAACACCAAATGAATTCAAAATTCATGTAAGTTTTAAAAGCAAATTTCCAGTTGACGATATTGATAGATAACGTGATCGTGTCTGAAGAGAACGATACTGGGTTCGAATCCCTAGGCGAACATCGTCTCAGACGCAGGTACATTCATCTGATGAGCCTCAGATGGAACGAAACATGCGTCCTGGGTTACACCGTTAACCACTATCATCTATGCTTATAACTATCACTATTATTTATCAATAGATCTTATTTTTACTAAAATTACAAATGTTTTCCGTATCATCATTAAAATTTTAATAATTTTGAATTTAATAAGAAATATTTGTTTTACCAATATACTCGTATAGAATATTCATTTAAGTTGTATAACTATTATTGTTATTATTATATTGAACAGATAGCTAACATATACAATGTATGTGCTTCCCGATAGTGTGTTTTAGATAATCAAATTTTCGTTATTACAAGGTTATCAGTTCAGTCTAAGCTTTGAATGTAGGAATTCAGTAGTGGTAGTAGTGTAGTGAACGGACACTCAGTTGGGTAGTATTAATTTATATATATATATATATATATATATATATATATATATATATATATATATATATATATATTACAATCTAAAAAAATTCTATCAGAAGGATACACTATTAAAATAAAGAGTAATGATCTCACAGTTGATTGATCACTTGGTGGTGATCAATGTCATGTGTGTCATGTCCTTATTAGTGCGGATCGAATGCTATCGACCATGTTGCAATGTGGCCACCAGTCTAGGCGACTCGACACTGCCTCCAACCACCATCTAATCTCACAATAGTGCACGCAGTGTCGAGTCACCTAGACTGCCACATTGCAACATGGTCGATAGCATTCGATCTGCACTAATAAGGACTTGACATTGACCACCACCCAGTGATTGTGATTACATCTCAGTCCTACAGGAGGTTGGTTGCGGCCCGGATAGCTCAGTGGTAACGTCTTTAACTGTGAAGCTGGGTGACACGGAGTCGAATCGGTCAGGGAGCACCAGTTCCTTCAAGGTTACAGGTGCACCTTGCTGACGAGTGCCAAGTAGCACAAAACCCGGGTCCAGGGTTTCCTGTTGACTACCTCCAACCACCATCTAATAGTAATGATCTGTCCAATAAATACGAGAGTTGAGGTTGGTCTTCATAAATATAATTAAACAAATCATTCTATGACATTATACTAAAGCGTCCAACATCTTGACTTAATTTGATATTGGTGGCTTCTATTTATTTCAATACTAATAAAAGTTTATATTTCCATAATATGAATATGTTTTATTTCACTGCATAAAACTGTACATAGAGTAAAGTATTTAAAGACACTTGTTGGACTATTCAAATAAAAAACCTCATACCATATTTACGACTAGATTCAAAAGTTGGTTATGCCATTTAAAGAGAGATAGGATACATATCCGTGAGTCTGTACCGAATTCGTTTGTCAGTTTTCAATGTGTCTGCAGTATTAGAATATTTCAGGAAGTTTTCCGTTCATTTAATAAGTAAGTGTAGCAAATAAGTTCGTTTTCATTGGAGACCTCATTTCAAGCTCTAACTATCCCTTTTTTCATCCGACAAGTTGGGATGCTCTACAGTGTCATGTTCATAGTTGATATCTTTAGATGGTTGAAATGAAATTATCTGTGAAAATTCTATCTTTTTAAGCCTTCATCCATTAGGCTAGACCGCCACTGAAAAACTGGAGCCACTGGACAGCCGTCTCATTTTAGTATGGAGCTTGTCAGCAGTGCGCATGCACGATCTCGCACACAGGACTTGAACCCAGGACCTTTGGTCTCGCGTGCGAACGATTAATCTCTAGATCACTGAGCTGGCATTCAACAGTATTAATGTCTAACTTGAACGGATCCCGCTTGCGGGACCGTGGATATGCATTGTTGAGGAGTCCCATACTAGGACGAAATAGCCGTTCAGTGCTCCCAGATTTTTAATTATGGTCAGTTTAAATCGACTCATGAATTCAACTATCAGGTTAGTGCAATCTCCACAAACGCCTATTCTGATAATGAACTGAAAAATGTTTGAAAATGATAGAAATTGTACTTTTATTAGACAACAAAATAATAATGGTTAACCTCGAACTTATTTGAATTGAGAAACGTTCATAATCTTACCTTTTGTTCTTATCTCAAAGTATTACACTTTGAATAAACCACAAGTTACATACCCACACAAATCTAACAAATATTCATTTAAAACTACTGGAGGGGTGGGAATGAGGGACAATGTTTTCAACTTGCGGGATATAAACTTTTAAATGTCGAATCTGTTTTCAAAATCATTCCAGAGTTCCAATGAGAATTTATCTCCTTGTACTACTATCTTTATCTGTTTTTGTTTGACCTTGAATTTAACCTCAACACTTGACCTTTACACCATTGAGTTTTTATATACATTATATTCTATTTTGGAAAAATGTTCATAACAAGTATATGCTTGTATGACCAGTTCATTAAAAGCTAATTTATTCAAATACACTGAGGATTATCAAACACGCTTACTTTATTTTAATTGACGTATCAAAGTTTCAATGTTCCCATTGTTGATATTATGAACTGCAACTGATCAGTTTCTTTTGGCTTATTCTAAAGAGGTTGTCTCAATATCGCCATTAAGTCACAAGCGCTTTTAAAAAAAGTTGGATAGTGGCTAGTAGTAGAGTCCAGGGCACGCATATTTTTCCCTATTTGGGACTCTTCAGCTGGATATACCTGTTGAGTTGATATTTGTACTGAGGATCGAACCGAGGACTTTACTTTCCAAACAGATAACGTCTTATTAACTTAGTTACTTGAGTATAGGTGGTCACTGACTTGTGCAAATTTGTTCAGGGGTGCTTGTGATTTAATGACAACAGAGATATAATCCGTTTAGTATGCACATATACCAAAAGAGACTGATCAATTGCAGTCATTAACGTCAATAATGAATTATTATTTATCCCGTTACCCAAGCCAACGACCAACAGGAATCAGTAGGTAAGCGGACAACCGGCAAAACATTTTAAACATAAAGTACTGGGTTGGTTCCTCAGGGTAAATATAAGCTCTGAGATCAAGGTGAATTCCTCTGACGAGTTTTAAATAGGGTAAAAAGGGTGTCCTGTGTTCCACAATTAGCCGCTATTCCCGAATTTCCTCATTTTATCGTAAATCTCCATTATCGGACTGGAAGATAATATCCTTAGTGTGATTCTAAAGAATAATCATTTACTTCACATCGAGAATAAAACATAATTTGTCTCCACTAACTTTTACAAAGTTTGATATATACGTCTAGTATAAATTGGCATCTACGACCTTGAATCACACCTTATTTCAGGGCTGCTGATACTACCCAACCATATAGTTTGACATAGAACGAACCTGAGATTTTATTGGCTAAAGGCGATTGCTTAAATCCTTAAGACATCACACCATAAGTTGTGTAAAATATTAAATGACGTAAGGAAATTTTTATCCATGAAAAATTCCAAACAAAATAAAGGCTTATAAGCAAAGATGGTTAGTAACCATCAGTGGAATCCAGATTTATGCAATTAAAAAGATTGTATAACAAAAGCAGATGTATTGATCAAGGTGTATGTTATCCTGAAGCTAGACTTGTTAGATATATTAATGACAAACTAACCACTATTTTTAAGGTGTAAAGTTACCATAAATTATAATGAGAACATATATAGGATATATATATAAGTTGACAATTCTGTTGTCTGAGTCACTTCACATGAAACAATCCCAAAGACAAAAACATCTGAAATAGAGGATGATGGGAGAGGAAGATAAATTTGAGATTTTTACGACTTAAATAAAAGAATAAAGATTGATGAGAAACAAAGTATCTATCCACCATCCCAAAAACTGCCGACGAAACTAATCAAATACACTGACTTACATCATAATTTTATTGACCTTCGATGACTAGTAATCATAATCACACAAAGAAGTATTCAACATCTAATGTCTACTCAGGCTGGTGACCACATCGAAATTTGATCAATACAATTTTGTCAGTATTTAGGGGGAATCGACGAACACGACATTGACCACAACTCTGTAATCAGTGAATCGTAGGTATTTCAATCTCGTAGGAGATATGTCACGACTCCAACAGTTTAGTGGAAACATCTAAGACTATAAGGCCGGTTGACGCAGGTTCAAATCACTTACAAACAGACCACTGGTTCCCTCGAGATCCCAAGTATCCTATGGTGATGAGTGCCAATTGGAGTGAAAACGAAGTCCACAGTCACCTGTGGAATATTCCCAACCACCTAACATACTTTTATTGTTAATTCAAAATCATGTATAAGAGGAATGCAACAGAATTTAATAGGACCATACGTACGATGCTGAGTAATCATACTATGCAACCAGTCTCTGATCAATTCATTT